GATTGTTAAAATAATGTGTTGAAATCGACATTTATTTTACATTCATATAGCTCGGTCTATAGTATTGCTTTTTCAACAATGTGTGTTCCATGACAACAATGATTGTTTAAAAAATATTAAAATACTTAAAACTTCATAATAACAAAAAATAAATAAAATTGGTTGCCAATGACAACCCTATTTATGTAATATACAATATGCAATATATTTGTTGTCACCACAGATTATATACTCTTAGTGAATTAATTCTAATTAAATTATGGAACTAATCAAATGTATTATTATAGGCAATGGGTATTTTAAGAAGGCGATATTAATAATAACATTATATATTGTGTATGTATACATTTGAAATTGTTTTGAATTCAGGTCAAATAATAAAAAAAATATCAATAATACAACTATTTGAATGATTGAATGCCATAATATAATAGCCGGTCTTGCCGAACAGTGATCTCCCCGCCCCCGTATGAAATCTTGAGAACAAAGGCTAGTACAAACGTAGGACCAAATGGGCACAAACGGCACAAACGTAGCACAAACGATTGACGTTAAAAGAAATTCGAAATCCGGACTTGGGGGAGCCACCGGTAAATCTAATAATATTACGGATATTCAAACTATTAATGCCAATCATGGCACCTACAGCACTACTTGATATGAACAAAAATGTGGTTTCTTAAACATCAGCGGCAAGAGCAAGGTTGTTTGGTGGGATAGTAGACGGATACACAGGAGGATATGGTGCTGGTGCAAACGGCTGATAACTAATTAGACTAATTGTTTACCTATATGTGTTTGATTAAGAAAACAATTTTCAAAGTTTATCTAAATTTATCTAACCCCCCCTACCCCTCTGAGAACAACATAAATGTTCACCACTGCCTATAATAATAAAATAGTAATAATATTAACCAGTGCTTGAAATGGAAATTTTCGCGAACCGGAACGTTTACAAAACTAATAGGCCGTCATATGATGACTTATAATATACAAAACACCTTTTTTTTGTTTTTTTCTGCTCGTAAACCTGCTTTAGTGATACCTACACATAGACTCACGCTTTTCCAATCAATATTATCAGACACAGAAAGTTCAGACAGAGTTCACAAAATCTGACTGCTATTTATCCTGTACTAATTAGGCGATTAGTTTAAATTTTGTAATGGTGTAGTAATAACGTTATAGCTCAGTCATTTTCACGATACTTTAGATTCTGAGCGGAACGAGAAATATTATTGGTTTTACTATGATGATTACTTATTTTTTTATGTGTGAACAACTTTTCTACTAAAAATATTGCTCTAATTTTCAAATATAACACTTTTTCATAAAAATATACTGACTAGGAAGGTACTTAGAGGAAGTTATTTTTTGATTTTCCCAGGTGTTTTCATAATAAATGGGAAAAACTGGGAAAAAACCTAGACAAAACTGGAAAATGTACGAAATATATTATTTTCAAATTATAAATACTACCTTCCACCTTTCAAAATATGTGTACCGAACTCCGTTCAGAATCGTTTTTCGTTAACAATAGTTAATCGTTTCGTACAGATAACATTAAATTCCTGTCTATATCCTACCTTCCCAACTTCCCAGCTACAACAGTGGCTGCAACCTGGCACCCGTAGCCATTATCCTAGGACAGCCTTTTTAATTACTTATCACGTCGTCGTATCATGTAAAATAATGTAAACAAATCGTTCAAGTCCGCCATATTGGAGAACGAAAAAGTGTACAATTCTAGTATAGGGATAGTCTATCCAATCTTTATTATCTATTTAGGTGTTTACAATAATAACGATTACCCGTGATTCTTGTTCCCCTTGATTGTAATACTGTCGGAAAAATTTTACCGATTGGCAATTGTTTTAATTTCTTCAATATTAACATATTAACTTGATATTTTTACGAACCGGAACTCTAAAATTCTAATTTCAATCAATGTATAGCGCTAATGTATTATTACTTATCAGTATATATCATATTCGTTAATAGGTATCCTAAATTACCTATTAGCCTAGCAAAAGTAATAATTAACATTATAATATAACTAGATAATAAGTAGATTTCGTATTATAGTATTTAAATTTAAATTTTGTTGTTGATTAAGACATAGATACAGTACTTTCATGTAGATCAGTTAAAAATAATATGTAAGTTAATTAGAATTAATTAATAAATATTGGACAAATATTTGTTGCATGGTAAATGTATGTATTGTAAGTTAATATAAAAGGATACCCTACCAGAAAAAAATTCAAAAACCGCCACTGGGTATAATATCATGCATTGAGCTTACTTCTGTCTTCAATAATGGCAAAATGACTAATATACCAAGGTCCTACGTACGACCCAATAAAAAAAATTGGTCTAATATATAATATATTAGTGCGTGACCAGTAATATTTTACTTAGAGTAATGTAGAAATTCCATACATATAAATAAATAAATGCTAATAATATATAAATAATAAATGTATACTCAAAACGACAAACCAAGGGACAAACCTTAATAAAACAAATTAAATTGAATTAGATGTAGGTTGGTACTTATTTTGGATTAAAAGAGACAAATTTTATTAAGGTGTTTGAATTATTTAATAGAATAGATAGGTACCTAGCAATTGTGTACATTTGATCATATTATAATAAGGACTTCGCATCTAACTGTTTTGGCTTAAAAATTAAATCAAATCAATTGATAGTATGTCATACAGCTGTGATGGTTATTTTTTTCATAAATGCCTTGAATAATTTATTATTTAATTTTAAATTGGGGTCGATTTCGTCGATTGTTTAGAAAACATTCGGGAATGTATTTAATGTGATAGCAGCAGTAGCTATATTGGAAAGGTAAGTTTAATTGACTGAGTTTAATGAACTGAATGGACGAATCCACAGTGGTGCTGGCCATCATCGAGAAAATAATATTGGTAGGTAAGTGATTATTATTGGACAAGTCACCGCCACGACTTCCACATCACTTCCGTCGAGTATGAGCTTTATTTGAAACAGTTTGTAGATTTCCTACAGTTTTTCTATGTAATTAAAAAACTGACAGTAAATGTCAATACGTACGTTTTATTTGTATTGATTTCTGGGTTACTTTGTCTGCAAGAGAAAATACGAATAATAAATCAGAATCGATTTTTAATTATAAAAATGTAACTACCTATACCGAGATGCGAAACATAAAAAAATAAATATTTTATTGGAGGTGAATGAACCCCCGTGTTATCCCCCCTCCCTCACTTAACTACGCCACTGAGTGGCATTAGTATTAGATTTTCGTTGAAAAGAAAATAATACATGAAAACACACAAATCTTAATAAAGTAACAAGCACCAAGTAAATATACTTATTTACTGGAACAGATTTAAAGATGCTTAGAGTGTAAGGTTCCACGTATTTGTGTGCGTTAACATAAAAATACACGTTTGTTTAACAATGTATGAAATTTTGTTTATTATTGATAACTTATTTACTAATGTACAAAAGGATGGGGTTTTTACAGAATTTTCTCGCGGTACAAAAATATGGGGGAAGATGTGATTGCGGGGTGTGTGCGGTGCGTGGATGGGATTTCATCGAGAGGGCATTGTACAAAAATAAAAGTACATAGAGACATATGTTTTACACACAATCGCGGTACGCAACGGGCGTATAGCAGAGCAACGCAATTGACATATAATGGAGAGTGGAAATTCGTGGTAACAATTGTGAATTAATATGATTGGGAAAGGAGCGAGTAATGTTAATGTTCGGGAACTCTTGGGTTGTTCTACGGCGACAGCAGCAATCGTTGTGTTTCTTCGGCGGCACCGTATTCTGCTGCGAGGGTTTTAACCCATAGAGCGCGGTACCAGCGTGAAACGCGTAGTATACGGTGTTTGGTAATAAAAAAATATGTTTGGCCCATGGCCTGTGTAACGGACTTTGGTTTGTTACAAGAGAAGAAAATATATTTAAACGAACACATGCTCGAGGAGGACGGAAGACGTTATTATACGGACAGCGTTTACGTAATTCTTTCGTGCCGTGCGCATATTTCGTGACTGAATTTGTTTTTTGTCTGTTGTCTCTATACAATCAGAAAAGAAATTTCATTTCGAAAACATGAAATAAGTATAAAAACTTTGTCCTGTATCCACAGATTATTTGATATTATATTGTAGGTATATACATAACATATATATTGCAGAGTATAATGAATTCTCGTTAAGACAGTCATTACATCTCGGAAAATATTATTTTTTTTTTTTTTTTTTACATGTACAAGAAACGAGTAGCTCAAAAAATGTTATTATTAATTTTTTGGGATAAAACCACTTTCTACGTTTGATTTCCAAATAGCAACCTACATTAAAAATGCCATAAATAGTTGAAGTTTTAGTATAAATACATGTTGGCTTTTCCATAAATCCGTTGACGAGATATTGCTGTTTTAAATGTAGGTAGTTAAAAGAAGAATGGTGTTTTATTTTAACGCCGCACGTCGCATCGTCACGCATATTCTTAAAAAAAAAAAAAAATAGTGGTCTAGAAGTACATGTTATAAACACTCAGTACTTCTATCACGATTTAACTGATTTAAAATATCTTAAATCGTGACTTATATGCAATTCAATGGAATATGGAACAATAATTTCGAAGCAAACTGCATGAAAATCAAAATTAATAACGATACAATTTGACTTAGTTATCAGTTAATAGTAGGTAGGTAGGTAATTTATTAATGTTGAGATTATATTGATATAAACGATATAAAATAAGTATAATAATATAATACATTTTTATCTACAGGTACTAGATAGGTAGGTAATTCAATTTACATTCTTGATATCTTAAAACGTGGTTGAGACGTACAAAAATACAGTAAAAGAAATATTTTCAATGCATGGGTACCTACACTGAATATCAATGTAAACGACTGAAAATGTTATCACCTATCTGTGTTATCAATAAAAATATAAACCATCATTATCTTATTCAGTATCAAACCTAATCTATGTAAATGTAAACATAAAGTGTAAATTAAAATGATTGTTACTTTTTACTAATTATTAAAATACATAATATTAATAGGTACCAAGTCGAATATTAAATGCTCTCCTTGTGATATAATTAGTTGATTCTCTAGTGATATACCTACATAATCGGTAGTAAAATACCTCGCTATGGATATTTTAGGTAAGTAAAATATTAGATTTCCAGAACAAATGTCATTAATGAATATGGTACATGCCATGTTTAAATGGTAAATGATCAATTCGTCTTAATTTATTAAAAATAACACTGATAGGGATTTCTAAGAGCTTATTATTTGAACGGTTGTGCCGATCAACAATTTATTCTGATTTTAAGTCCAGTTTAAACCGCCTTACAACAATAGTTCTAAACCAGCTTTTATATGCTATTGAATTATAATTTTATTATTTGGAGATTAAACTAATGCACTGCCTAGGTAAATAATGTATTAATATTTCCTTCATTCTCAAAATATTCAAAACAAGTTCTTTATTGTAATTGGGAATGATAATTCTACAGTTCTATAGTAATATAGTAAAAGTTATTGGTATTTACAGATTAATAAGTAACTACAGCAGTAGTTGTAGGTTGTTGTTAAAAAATTATCTAAATACCATCACTAATGTCAAACTTTGTTTTTATTTTCCAATTAAATGTTTACTAGACATTTGCGTGATAATAATATTATCGTCATATATTTATTTAGTTTACGATAAAATATCACTCACAACCAAGTATCTAACGAATGACTACCTACTTAATCCCAAAAAACCATTTAACATAATATAATATCACTTTTACCAACCCTGGTTTTGGATTAAATATAATAAACCGTATGTCTATTATTGTAATAATAAAAAAATAAAAAATATATAATTTTTTATTATGTGAATCTTAATATTTTGTATTAAGAGATGGTAGTTAAATTATTGATTGAACATTGAACTATTTACAGTACAGTGTGTAAAATTGAATTATTAACAATAATCACTAGGGCTAAGAGAAGGGTGAAAAAAAAATATAGGTTCATAATGTGAATAGTGTGTGTGAATGCTAACCTATGGGTGATACTCTCTACCAAAGTATATCATTCATTGTATTATGTAGTTTTTAAATTAAATCAAATATAATAAGTAAATAAACTATTTTAAGAAGAAAATAAATATTTGCTCACACGAATGTACTACTTATTTATAACTCAAAATTTTATTGCTAAAAATAATAATTTATTAAATTATATACATCGTACTCCACACATTAGTACTAAAAATTTCAATATTATGTATTATGAGATAATTTATTTGAATCTAGCACTTTTAAAAATTATATTTCCCTTTTACTCTTTTTTTCAATTATATTACCAACGTTTTTCTACTTTATTTATTCATTTTTTTTTTTTTTTTTTTTTATACTTTAGAAGAAGATTATGTTTCATCTGAATTTGCATTACTTCTATCAAATTCATTTACCATTTCTGGACTTGAACAACTATTCAGCATCGCTTTTGTATTTACTGTTGAAACTGGCTTTATTCCAACTTCTTTAGCGGAGAATTTTGACTCAATAAATTCAAATATTCAACTGGCTAAAATGATAAATAATAGTCCATCACTAAATTCATTTTGGCACCAAAATAATAATATTTTTACTTCTCAACTAGTTATGTCTAATCAGTTGTGCCATTTGATTGGTGTTCCTAATGGAGATTCATTAATAATCACATTATGCTATTCAAATATATCAAAATGTATTTTATTCGAAAATGATCCATATTTCAACAAAAACTCAGTCAATTTTTCTGGAATGTCTTTAAAGTATAAAAATGTAGTAAGTGTTCCAGTTAAATGTGCTATATTGGATATCGTTATTGGTCTGTATCCAAATTTATGCGGACTTCCTGAAGAACTAATATTGCATATTATGCTAAAACTAGAGACAACAAATTTGTATGCACTCATGAGATGCTGTAAAAAATTATATTTGTTAGCTATTAATAATCAGTTTTTATGGAAAAATATAGTTATTAAAAAGTGCTGTCCGTTAACAGTTGCCAAATTTATTGAAGGTAATGAACCTGTAAATTGGAGAGAAAATTATCTTGAACTTAAAAAACATGCATATTTAGTAAAAAGAACTCCTATTCACAGAGAATAACCTACTTCTTTATAATTTTAACAAAGATTGTTAAACGCACATTTTGATACACATTCTTTTGTAAGTACTTATTTATTTTTTTTTATATTTTGGTGTCGTTTTATTGTTAATAAGTAAATTAAATGTTTACATATATTTTTATACTATATGTACCTTTAGTGCATATTATATACCTAAGTATTTACATTGGTTGTAGTATGTAGGAAGTATATGAGAAGTAGCTGATTTGAGTATATTTTAAACACAAAATCGTATTTACCTTTCATTGAATAAATTGTTAAGGATACAAATAAAATGGAATTTATATTACTTATTATATTATAATTTATATTTCTTGTTTTTATTTATTTTAATACATACTAACTAAAATAATATTGGTGTTATGTCGATATGCAGTCTATCAATATGTTTATAATTCAGTATCAATACCTAACAATACCTATTTTAGATTCTGAGTAAAGCAGTGAAGCTTATGGTCTTACAAAGATGTTTTTTTTTTTTTTTTATCTGTGTGCAATTTTCTACCAGAAATCTTTCTTAGATTTACAATGATAGCATTTTTCTGAAAGGAAATCTGACTGGGAAGATACTTTAGAAAAATCTTATTTCAATTTTCCCATGATTTTTCCCAACAAATTAAAAAAAAACTAAGGAAAACAGGAAAATCTACAAAATGTTGGTATTTGTTAAATTTAAATTTAATAAAAGGTAACATTTCTTGTAGTTATGTACATTTTTTATCACACTGATGAAGTAGATTACATATCGAAATAGCACAATAATGTTATTTAATTATGCTTTTTAAATAGAATTAAATATATTCTTTAGTTGATAAGATTGGAGAGGTCCATAATTTATTTAGTCTTTGATTGCAATAATATGTTTCCAATATAGGTTACTTATACTTTTAATATTATTTTCTTTTAGATTATTATAAATATAAATTTGAAATCAATTAAAGACATTACGGCTGGATGAAGAAAAAAAAAATTGTTGTCGAATCTATGTCTTTTGATAAAATTAATATCAATAAATTGTGCAACATTTTATTTTTTTATTAAGTATGAAGCTTTATTTTGTAATTATTTGGGTTTTATAATGTACATCTATTAATGGATATAAAAAATATTTAATTACTAAATATGTTTTTCTATTAAATAAAATTAATTTCTTTTGTATATTTTAAGATAGAGGTGTATTTTAAAACATAATATACAATTTTCCATACATGTTTAATTAAATTAAGTATTAAATTTTACAGAAATAAATTGATTCAATTGTTATAACCATGACATTTATTTGTTGTTTATCTGATAAAAAATGTAAATATTATTTATTTTTACTTCAAAATGTATAATTTGTTTCTATTTACAACAATATAAAATATAAATTAAACTATATACTTATCAAATAAAACTGTATTTTCTACTTATTAAAAATAAACTAAAATTTAATATACTAATATATCTGTATATATTGTATCATCTATATTTATGTTATTTTCAATTGAATAATGTATGTGGTTCCTTTTTTACAATATTATAATAAATTGAATGTATATTCTGATGGAAAAAAAAATTGGATAAACAAAATAAAACTATTTCTATAATATAAATAATTTTAACATTAAGGTAAGTAACTATTCTTACAAATGAAAAATAATCCAGACAGGTTTTAATGCAATATCCATATACCTAGATATACTGTTCATACTAACTTTTGTTACCCATTCTTTTCTGTAACCTTTATATTATAATACCTACCTGTCTACTTGAATTTGCTAAAACATTTGTCTGTTGATTTGAATTTGTACTGAGTTCAAACTTTACACATTTATTATTTGTAGTCAAAAGCAATATGCAGACACACGGCGAATTAACGACTTAAAACTCATAAGCATCATCAAATAGTGGGTGCATATATTTTGTACGGTTATTTAAAATAATAATCATTTTTAAATTTTATATATTTCTGTAAAAATTGTATAACAACAAATTATATACTCTATTCATCCTAAGTTGACCCGTTTCCGTGCAAGTATACTAAGCCGTTTTGATTTGTGATTGGTTGGCGGTGTTCAACGACCGTTGTTGTTGCTTGCTCGTCGTAGTAGGCAGCAGGCTGCCGCTGCGGCCGTGTGTAAAGATGGTTTTTTTGAGAGAAGGGGGTTTCGAGGGGTTTTCGTCGAGCGAGTGGGTCAATTTACATTGAATAGAGTATAGTAAAAGTAAGTGTAGCAATGTATATCTTAAAATTGATAAAAATAGTCACCAGGTATTATTATTATTTTTTATAATTTTAAAAATAACAATACCTGGGAATGGTATATTTAAGCATGCTTAAGTCGAGATAAACGGATTTAGAAAATATCAACATAACTTGAAATTTATATAATTCCAATATTATAGATTGTGTTGCATTATTTGGCTATGATATAAATAGTACGAGAAACGAAAAAATATGTTTTGAATATAAAGAAAATTAATAAAAGTTGTCTTTGATAATAGTATTATGGATAGCAGTGGCGTAATTGTGGGGGAATTACGGACACTCGTGAACTTGGCAGCGCAACATTAGTAGACTTCGATCTACTCAATCCAATAAATTTGTTGTTGGATTGATGGACATTGTTGGACAACTTTCAGAATTTGTTGTACATTATTTTCACTGGGTAGTCAATTTCTAATTTCGCGTTGTTAAGTTCACATCAGCATCGCAACAGTTTGTTGGTATGTGTTTTTTGTGATAAACATGTTCATCTCAATTTGTTGGACATTATTTTCACGAGGTTGAGAATCTGAACTTTCGTGTATCCAATAAGTTCAGATTATCAATGCATTTGTGTGTTGTAATTTTTTTTCATCCCTTATACGAGTATGTTGCTCCTTTTTTATACAGATTACTTTATTACTTCGATGTAGGATAGTATAACAATTTTCGAATGTATTTTTGTTAAATTAGGTACTACAATTATAATTATCTCTGATATGTAATATTTTACGCAAGATGACAATCTAAAAACGGAAAAATCATAAAACAATAAATGACCACGAAGTGTTATTTTTTCAAATTTTGAATAGTTTTGAAGAAACATTAATTGACGGAACGCGTATTTTATATATTAAAAGTTAGTATATATAATATTTATTATTGAATATAAAAAAAAAATAAAAATATTTTATCAGTGGTTTGATGTACTAGTAACGAATGACGATTTCGGATCGGCGATTTCTACCAGAGCCCGATTGATGTTGTTATTTGATGGGCAATGGTAGACTGTTCAGTGTTTAAATAATATGGATTTATGATAATTGTATGAGTAAAAGAGCCGATAAAAAGATATTGATTTCAAAAAATAATTCCGATTTGTAATACCTATCGAATTTTTATGATATCCACTAAAATAATTCACACGAAGAATTTAATAATAGGCCGCGTATACCGAATTATTCAACTTCGTGTTTATTTTTATTATGAGCGGTTAATATTATATTATGTATATGTATCCAAAATGTTTTGTATTATAAACATTTTAAAAATACACTCTGGCAAAACATTTTTTCAGAAAAGTAGATAGGTATTGTGAATTTAGAAAAAATGTAATTAAAAATATGTACCATCGGAGAAAAATCAGCATCTTTTAGATTTAGAATACGTATAACATGAAATAATAATTTCAGTGCTGGTTTGTTATAGTCCCGCCGCGGCGAGTGAAAACTTTATTGTCCCGCCATTCAAGATGTTGTTATCACCCCGCCATCATTATAACAATAACTACATCGTATAGATATGAAATAATTCGACCGAAAATATGTACCATTTCTATTAGGTGCCTACCATAGATGTTTATCACAAATAATCAATAATAAAATAATGTGATAAACCTATATGGAAAATAATGAGTTTGTTTATTGATGTTTATTAATCTAATAATTCGACGATGTATTGATATATTCAAGCCCGGATTAAGGGGGGGGAGCACATCCCCGGGCCCACGTACGTAAAGGGCCCATAGTTTCTCGGCTTAAAATTGCATTGTGTGGTAATTTGTACTTTTGCACAAAAATATTTTTATTTTCATTTTCTTTTTTGTTTGGACTAACAGGCCCGTTCTAACAACCCGCCTACCAAGTTTACCGCTACGGGTATGGTAAGCACATGGCCAGGTTTGTGTATACAGGGAGTAGAGATATATTTTGTTATCGCTGTATTTAAAAACAGAATTATCGGGAAAATATGTTTATGTGAGTGTGTGACCATCGTAGGCAGAGCCGGCGTGAGGGTAAGGCGACTCAGGCGGTCGCCTAGGGCGCCATTTTCAGGGGGGCGGCGAAGTTGCTTTTTACAATTTTACACATTTTTGTCAGTAATATATACATATATATTTTTTTCTTTAATATATGAAATGCCCATAACTTAGTACTGAAACATTGATAACTATGGTTATTTCATTTAGCCATAGATTAAAATAACAAGTATATTTTCTATGGTATAATGTTTATCGTATAATATGTTGCCCTAAAAATATAAAAATTCCCGAATATTTGTTATTATTTAATCGACAACAATTTTTTTCTTTTTTATTAGACGATAACAAATAATGTATATATTGATTATTAGCATAATTTGTTTGAGTATTATGGTATGGGTTTTTGTATGAAAAGGCGCCAGTTGACATTTTGGCCTGGGGTTTCATTAAGCCTTGCGCTGGCCCTGATTGTAAGTACTCAGAACTCAGATACCTATTTACTGATTACAACCGTCTGCTGTCTACACTCTACACTGCATTATTAGTTGTTGCTAATTGTACCGCAAAGAGAGCATTTTCGAAGTTGTCCAGAATTAAAAATAAAAATAAATCTTCACAAATTCAAGATAATCTGTCATCAATAATGATATTGTCTACAGAAAATGATATTCTGCAAAATGTAGCCTTTGATAAAACCTTGGAAGCATTTGCTACACAAAGAGCAAGAAAATAGATTTACATAAAACACGTACTTAATTGTATTTGTAGATATATGTATTAATATTATATGTTTTTAATATTTTTATCATACTTAATTAAAAAGTTTTAAAATTGTTTATTATATATTTTTATTATTTTAAAAAGTGGTTTTCATTGGTGGGGCCCGCAACTATGTATTGGCCCCTGAAGGTCTAAATCCGAGCTTGGATATAATATTAAAAAAATTAAAATTAAAAAATGAAATAATAATAAACATAAAATAATGATATAATGTTAAAAAAATACACAACAATTTTTATCCTCTCCGTGATTCTCGTGATATCATATCGTTACACATTCGAATTATTAGATTAATAAATAAACTCATTGTTTTCTAAATCGGTTCATTATATTATTGATTATATATGATTAACACCTAGTAATAGTACGTATTTTCCGTTGAATTATTTTATATTTATACGATGTACTTATTGTTTATGGATGGCGGGGCTATAAAGTTTTCACTCGCCGTGGCTGAGCTATAACAAACCAGTACCAAAATTTTTTAATACAAAACTAATGGTTTCTTCACTACACTCAGAATCTAAAAGATAGATCTGTATGGTTGGTGTGGGGGGGATACATACACGAAGTTTACTTAACAAATTATCCATTTACCTCCTCCCTCTACCATAACAAAATCATAACTACGCCACTGATGAATGGATACTTCAGATAGGTACCTACTTAAAATTGCAGGGAAATGTGAAAGCAGGATTTATGATTGAGGAAAAGTGTAAAATATAAGATGAAGGTTTTTGGGTTGAATGCAAGTATTAGATAGGTACTTTGGGGATTAGAGAATATATAAAATGTTGGTTTGTAGATACCTAATAATATGATTTTTTTTTTTTTTTTTTAAAGCAATATATTATCATATAAACGTCAACTACGTACTCATAATAATGTTAAACCGTTATAACATTTTCTGGGCTTAGGTACCTATTTAACTGTTTAATGTTTAATAACATTCATAATTTAATAGTTCGGCCATTTTAAAATACAATATTTAGGAATAAACTTTTTTTTACAAAGAATAAGCAGTTATTCAGGTTTTATTTTATATTTGCTTTTTAAATAATTTTTACTTTTTCATATAATGTGTATTTTTCTCTTCAACAAAAACCATAACTGGTGTCTAGGGTATACTTTTGTTTAGAACTGTTTTCCTTTCGAGCTCAATTTTTTTAAATTATACTAAAAAGTAAAACGATGGATTGCGGGTAGGTACTATAAAAAGTTTCACCAAAAATACCTATATAATAACTATTATAAATTTATGTTAAGTAAACTATATTGTGTAATTTTTTTTAAGTTGTCAATTCGCAAAAAAAAGACACCTACCTAATAATGTATTTCATACAAGTAATTCAATTCTTTTAGATTTTAGATATTTTACAAGAAGGAACGAGAAAACTACCTATTGGTTTAATAAAAATATTATTTTGTTACGAAATAAGCTTTAGGGTATAATACATAGTAAAAGTACTTTGAAACTTTTGTACAATCCACCTACTTATAATTTATAATACAATGTCGATTGGAAAAGTATCTCATATTTTGTTTTCCTTTATTTACTATACACAGAATGATGCATGTATAAAATATAACACTCAGTAGCGCACGCGGGATTTTTTTCCGGGCGGGGTATTGTTTATTACAATTTCCTAGAAAGGAAATAGGTAGCACATATTATAAGTAAAGTACCTACAGTACTATCAATATTATTACAGAATAAATGATTTTCATTGAAATAAAATCTTATTTTATTTTATCTATATTATATTATGCTGTTGAATGTAAAACTCGATTTAAAAAAAATTAGTGCTGGAAGACATTTCGGAGGAGGATTTATACTAGTTTGTTAAACTATTAGTTTATAAGTTTACTTATTTGTATTTACAAATAAGTATGTAAGTAAAAAGATAAAAAAAAAATAAAAGATTAATTAATCATTTATTAATTAAAATTATTATTATTTTTTTTTAAAATATTTAAAATTAATTCCCCAAAAATGTCAAAGAATATATATCTATCCATATGATATTTCTTGTGTGTCGTGGATTTTCGGGGAATCAAAAGTACCTTTAAACTTGGTACCTAGCTACTTTTCCTTTTTACTCTCGAAAAAGAATGGAATGTTGTACAAGCATGAAAACTGATGTGCTTGTAAACCTACACTGACGTATTCGAATGTATTCGTTTCGTAGTAATATTTAGTTAAAATTGCGGTCAACTGGTAGTATTTGTCTTCGTTTTTAAACAAAAATGAAAAAGACATTATTCCTCTCACGGCTTTGCCCGTTTCAATATTGAACGAAGAAAATTAGTACAAAAATAAAACCGTGTTTTCTCGGTTTGGCGCTTTTGTGCCTTCGTGGCCAAAACATTTTAAATTAAATTATTACTTACAATCCAAATCAACAAAGAACTAAGTAACCAGTTTCTATGACAACTACTACTGTTCGGTATGTATATTACACTCGAGAAAACTATTTGTTAACGCAACTGCAACTAGATTGAAAATAAGGTTGTCATCGACAACAGTTTTTATTTATTTTTGTTATTATTAAGTTTTTATTATTTTGTGTATCTTTTTTAAGCAATCAATGTTGTCATGGAAACGCACATTTTTGTAATCATTTTTTACCATAATAATGAAATTTATATTATTGACAAAACAACACTATCAACTGAATTTCGCTCAGAATGGTTTTCTCGTTAGCAATAGTTTATCTTTGCTTACAGATGTACGTTTAATTATAGTCTGTATCATACTATCCCAACTTCTCACCTACAACAATAGCGCTCTCATCCCCAGTATCAGCTCTTATTAAATTTGTAAGTGACTGAGAACATCGTTTTTTGATTTAGTTTTTTAGCTTTGGTAATTAAGCAAAACGGAAAAATACGTAGAAACTATGGAAAACTGTACCTACGAAAATAATAATTTTGTTATTTTAATGTAATTCAGTTAAAAATATTCTTCAACTGTTTAAATTTTCTAATTTATTAATTAAATTAATTAAATTAGTGCAATTAATTTTAAAATACTAGTGCAATTTAGTATTTTTATTTTCTTATATGTTTTAAAATAGAATTTTTTAAATTCCATTCGTATCACTTAAGTAACTAATAAATCAACAAAAGTAATTCGATTTTTGTACTAAAAATTACCCGGTGTTAACACTGTCCACCGCTCTCCCTCCCCCTTCTTAAGGCTTCAATACTAATAAAAAGTAGCTTATGTTACTCCTGGTTTAGAACTATATCTATGCAAATTTTCAGCCCAATCCGTTCAGTAGTTTGGGCAAGTAACGGTAACTAACATACATTCATCCATTTAAATAAACTTTCGCATTTATAATTTTAGTATGATACGATAGGGTAATTTTTACTTTTTCTTTAAACTAAAAAAATAAAAAAATGTATAACTGTTTCATTAACATGGATACTTTTAATAAAAGAACATTAACTCGTTGACAACGGTTTCATTTCTATAGCAATAATATTACTATGATGTATAATTATAATGTTGCTTGGCAAAAATCCAAAAGTTCTCGATGGTACACGAAAATGCCTAATTTGGGCACTCTGTTTCAGCTATTTATCGTATTTTTCCAAAAAGAAATAATCAAGCCAAATAAATTATTTATGCTCCAAAACCCTAAAGTATCAACTTTTCGGAGAATCCCATAATTGGGGTTTGAGATAAAAAGTGCAAATACAATATATTATACTGTCTGTCCCGCACGGTCTTGCCCATGACAAAACAAATGTCAATGGTTCTAAGCAGTTGAGACGTAGTTGTTTTAGGTATTTTACAGTCTTTAAACAGTATGGGTAGGCAATACCCTAGTGGTATACAGCTGACCCGGCTTTGCTATTGCTATAAAATAATAGTAAATAATAGAAATAATAATAACTGTCTTATGGTTGACAACCAAATTATCATCCATAACACTAAGATAACACATCAATCAAAATGAATATTAAAAACATGTAGAAATGTAGTACATTATTCGGACTTTTGATACCTTGGGGGTTACACTGTTGCAATTTCCGTAGGAATCTTCAATTTTTTTGAAAATAGAATACAGTTTATTATGATACTCACTGATGAGTGATAATATAGCTTTTTGTAAGTGACAGATGTTTTAAAATCGGTTAAGTAGTTTTTTAACTTATCCATTTCAAACATACAAACAATTCTTTTCTCTTTAAAATATTTGTATAGATTATAAATACAATATTATTGCTCGTAATATATTATAGGATAAACTTACGAATATTAAAACGTAATAACAGTTGCTTTAAGTAAGTACTAAGTATTTGTTGTGCCCATAGTAATATTTACTGTAAGATGGCCTTTATTTCCAAAATATTTGTAGATGTTAACGGTTTAACCCAATGAGGACACATTACCTCTCGTAATTAAGGGGTTGCATATAGGCAATTTGTTAAAAAAATACATAGTTCAATACAATTACAAGTAGTCCCGTGTCATTACTCACTATCACAATAATTATTAATATTTATTGTGTAATCGATTATGAAAAACGATTACGTTCACACTGATAAAAACTACTCGGTCTTACTGGGCTTATAGGTAATAAACCAAATATCACCATAAAAAAGAAAATTTGCACTGTGAAACATTGGTTTTAGTTTTTTTTATATCACTGGATATTACGAAATAAGTATTATTCGAGTTTGGAAAAAATGAGATATTTAAACAATAAACAATATTTTTACAGGTATATGTAATATCGAAAAAATAAAACCATTACTGCACAATACAAATTCTTCATTTTAGATTCTGAATCGAAACGAGGAGACTATTGATTTTACAATTATGTTTATTTTTTCATTATTTTTTTATTTTTACTGTGTACAAAATTTCTACCAGAAATCTTGTTTCGATATAAAAGTCTAACATTTATTTAGAAAGGAAATTTTTCTGAAGTGGCACTTTATGGAGGCCATTTTTTGATTTTCCAAGTTCTTTTCAAAATAATTGGGAAAATTTCCGAAAATAATGTTTTTACTAGTTTCAATTTTATTTTATTGTTGCAATTCAGTAAAAAATGTTCATAGACTCTAGAAATTTAGACAACAAGAAAGTGGTCAACAAAAAAAAGTTAAGCTTAATAAAGTATTTTTTTGTTAAATTTTGACGAGAATCGTAAATATTACGGCCAATTAAAACATATATGACCGAACTCCTCTCAGAATCGTTTTTCGTTAGGAACGACTAATCGTCGCATACAAAAATACACTGAATTCCCTTTTATATCCTACCTTCTCAACTTCTCATCTACAACAGTGGTCCGCCCATCGTTCGAAGTATGTCCGTTTTGTTTTAATGTGAACATTTGATTTCTTAATATTAAGTTTTTATAATCGAATTGCTGCAGGTGAAAATAGTATAAATTAACAAATGTACTTTATTTGTTTTTAGAAAATATTATTTCAATGATTTATAATAAAGATAAAGACTATACTTAAAAGTGATGAAATAAAATATTATATTTTTGAAAACCTCTTTATACATACATTGTAATCTCATCTCGAATTTTCGTCAAGATTATAATATACGAGTACCTACTTATCTGAAAATGATAATCGATAATGTAAATAATGTAGATACTTTAAAATCATAAGAGCAGATAACCCTAATCTTTTATCGAGAATCTAAAAAAAATACTTAATGGTAAATTTGCATACTGGCTACTTATACTTGCGTATCGTTCGTTGTATCGATTCCATTTACCGCTTCGTCGTGAGTAATGTAGCCGTACATTTTTTTTTAATGAATATACGCTTGAGAATACTTAAAACATAATCGACCCTCCTCTCTACCATTAGGTAATACGTTTTTATCTTAAAAATGGGTTCGGCTTTTACCACATTTTACATCACAAATTACTAATACGTAATTCATTATATTTAATACTCGAATTATTATTTTATTATACAGTGGTATACGCGCTATTATAGTAACATTTCGAATATTGTTACATTCAAAACGATACATTGTTCTGTACGAATCATTGTGATTATCTATTATATTATTTTCTGCGAATTCAATAATATAATAATGAGATGGTGCATGCGAGAAGAAAACTTCTGTCGAACAGATAAAAGTGTACGCGGATGATGGACGTATGCTGCGAGAAAGAAAAGATTGATGAAACTCGTACATACCCACTCGGCCACGCGTTAAAGCTGACGTTTGTCTCGGACGAAAAAATGAAACAGAACCGTCTGAAAGGAAGTGGCTAATAAAAATCGATAGGTACTACGTCGTTCGTTGTTGTTATGAAGCAAACGGGATATAAAGGCGAGAACAAAAAAAAAGTAAAAAAAATGTACCTATACAAAATATTATTATAGCCGCCTTATACTCGGGCGAAGAAAAAACTTAAGAGTCGTTAAAAATTCATCGAAAATACCGCCTTTTCGAGCAAAGACTTTTGGAAAATTCGAAATTAATCTATTATTGAAGAGAACTGACAATAGCAGCAGGGCAATCCATCATTGTTTTCTTCCTGTTGCTGTTCGGGTTAGGTAAAATTATAGTATTATTAATATACTTTGTACACGTCTAAAATATTTATTTTTTTTATTTTTCAAAAAAAAAACCGTCGAAGATGTACTGTTGAGGCAGTGGATTTTAACACGTAGTTCTTTCTATTGATGTTAATTATATGTTAATATGTTTTCCGAGAATAAAAAATATTATAGACGACGAAATAATAATAAATAAATTATATTTATTATAATTATATTTTGTATACAATTATATTAAAAAAAAAAAAAAAAAACATTTAAATGTTTAAACTGAATTCATTTTTATTTACTTAAATCGTATTTTGTGAAATCAATAAACTATATTATGCACCTACCCATAATACTTAGGTGACATTAATTATGATACATTAATTGTCCAATCAAAATAATATGCACATATTGTATTATAACCTATGAATTATTATAATAATAATTTCCATACTAACGTAACTACTATAAAGTTTTTTTCTTAAGTAGGTACTACACTATTTTTTTATTTTATGTAATCTTTTTAAACTCGAAACTTCATTTCTTTCATTTTATCACAGGTAAAAAAAAATAATAATTATTAAAATACTTACTGCAGATTTTATACCTTGGGCAAGCCATTGTATTGTATGCGAGTTTCAACGACAAAAGTCGATATTTTATTAATTTAAAATTTAAAAATTTAAAAAAAAAAAACCATTAATCATTGTGTTCAAAAATTTTGTTACTAACGAACGATGGTATTTGTGTCAGTACAAAATTAGCTGTAATACAATATATTATATTATACCCACCACCTATTATAATTATTATAATGTTATGATTTTGGTTTCAAATTGTTCACATGCCGAAGTCTCTAATATTTGTTTAGATTTTAAATCAGTTAGCAATATTAATAGGTTCACTCGTGTTTTCTTTTTTTATTTATTACCAGACGAGTACATTACTGGAAATACAGCAATATCTGTTTACCAAATTTGAATTAGAATCGTATTTTAATATTAAACCTATAGAATCTAGAATCATGTACATTTTTTCAAAAGTGCCCAGGTAATTTTTAAACCGCGAATTGTATTGTTTTCTAACCAGAAAGTAAGGTTATATATTATGTTAGCATACTATATAAAGTATAATATAGTTTTTTTTTTCGTATTCAATTTATATTTAACTATTTAAATTAATATTGTTGTTCTTCAAATAAAATATTTGTGGTCGCTTATTATTTTAATCTGTTTAAATTAAACTCGAGAAAATGAATTTTTTTTATAATAATTAGACTATTACGTGTTTACAAAGAAAAAAAACCTTTACAAATCTTTAACTTAACATTTAATTAAAACTGCAAGAAATGCGAAATATTGTTTTAAGAATGCTATTATCCCTTCCTTTATTATATAGATCAAATACTCATTATTACAACGAAAAAACCACACTTTGATGTTAATTTTTTATTAACATAATATAATTGTATTATTATTTAATTTTTAAACAATTAAATCTGTCTTATTGTATTAAAAGCAAGATTCCAATTTCATCTGATTAAAAAAAACACCGAATCTATCATGAGGTACTTATAGAAAACTTGATTAACAACCTTAGATCAATAATAGTAATATGTGCAATGTAAGCGGCAATGTAAGAATCTGTATTAAATTATTACTAAACAAATAATAATACCTTACAAAAAAAATCAACATAAATAAATTTTCCCTCGGTGGCGTATACTCAAAGTGGGGAAACATATTATATTCCTCTTGATATGTTTTTTATTATATACCTGTTTTTTATACGTACCCATATGTTTTAAATTCAAAATGTTTTTTTAATCGGAAAAATCAAAAATGTGTTAAAATTAGTATCGAAAATACTTGAATGTATACTTACATATTCTTTTTTTAAAACGAAACCTAAAAATATCTCTCTTTTTGGTAGAATCCTAATTACACTAACGCATCTCCCTAACGTCAATTCCCCTCCTGTAAAAGCAAAATGTATAACAAATACAATAGGTAATAGGTACGTATAAAACTAAAATATAAAAAATGAAATAAAATGTATTGATTATTGAAACTTTAAATCGGATATATTCGTCTTCAATTTTTTATTTTTAATTAATTCATGTTTTTCAATAATTGTTTAAAGTTCAATGGAAATTGCATATAATTATGCACCAGGCTGTAATCACATTCGTTAATTGATTTTTATTATTATGACTTATTGAATATACACTTTTTTCTCTTAAATTAAAAAAAATATTAAAAACCACGAATTAAACGAAAACAAAAAGTTGATACGTCAATATATTTTCAGAAGAACAAACTATACATTTAAAAAATTTAAAGTTATACATATATATACATTGGTGGGATATTCTATGCATAACATTACGGATGTCGCATGCATTTTTTTTCTTTTTCATAATATTAGGTTTTACAGTTATTGGCTACTCGTGTTTTTAAGGAATAATAAACTAAGGCATTTATTGCCAATGAACTAAATGTTATTTCCGAGACTTATTTTTCAAATGATCAATACTTGACGAACACGCCTATCTAAATATTGCCTTTTAAATGATATTCGTTTTGTATTTCACGTAAAAATATGGTGCTAAATTTTGTTTTTAGTTACTTATAATTTTTAAAATTCACAAAACAATAAATGTAAAAAAAAAAACCTATTCATTGTGGACATTGTACGTTTCCGGGAACAAAGACGCAGTGTGCTATTATAGGAACGCCAGCTGCTGTTATTTCGCATAATATTAATGTTTTAATGCAAGATGTATGTTTAAGAGAAAAAAAAAACATTTATTATGGGTCAGACGATGAATAGAACAATGAGGAAATTATCTAGGTAGACAGTAATGGTGTGTAAGTACCTTATATAGTATGTACATCAACATGTTTCAAAGAGTTGATTAAATTGTGTTTTTGGAAGCAAGTCATCTAAACTAAACTGCGGTGTAATAAATAAATAATTTACGACGTTTGCAATTAATTCTGTTTATTACATTGATCGCTTGTGTTTTAGATTCTCAGTGCAGCGAAGAATGTTTTGGTTTCACCTACCTGTGTCTTTTTTGTCTGTAAACAACTATTCTTATACTCGAAGTCTTGCTTCGATTTCAAAGTGTAGCAACTTTTCTAAAAGAAAATGTTACCTACTTGGTGCATCAATGTGGTTATTTTTTAATTTTCGTGTAGTTTTTTTTAACAGTTTGGACAAATGTACGGCGAAACCTAACCATTTCATTATTTACGATTTTAGATTCGGAGCGTAGCGATGGACCTATTGGTTTTATTATGATGTATGCTTTTTTTTTTTTTTTTTTCATTCTATGAACAACTTTTCTAACAAAAATATTGCTTCGATGCATAGAATGTAGCACCTTATTTTCCCTACCTAGTACAATAAAGAGATTATTTTTTAATTTTCCAATAATTACGCAAAAATACGTAGACAGAACTGGACAATTTATTTACGAAAATAAAAAATAATTATTTTATTATTTTAAATTTTGTTTTTTAAATTGATTCGTCTAAAAAAACTAGTAGAGACTTAAAATGTTAACAGAAAACTTATATTTTCTTTTTCTTGACGTGGTCAAATGTTAAAAATATTTAAGTTATTTTTGAATTACTTTATAGACATTTTAATTTTGCCAGTTTTTTACATGATTTTTGTTCGGTAAGTACTCCATGAACAAAATTATTGAACTAAACAGAAATGCTTACAAATTTGACAGCAGATTTCATAAATTGACTCATTAAAAATCATACTTAGCGGTCAAAAAAAAAAAATAATAATAATTGAGTGTAATAGTGATAGTATTTTTTATTTTATTTTTTTTATAAGAGTCAAAATCAAATTTCAAGTCTCTATGAATAATTTAAATTAATTTGGAAAATAAAAAAATAATAAAAGCATTATTTTCGTACATTTGCTCATTGTTTTTATGATTTTTTTCTGTTTTGCTAAATTATTAAAAAAATTCAAGAGAAAATCAACAACTAACATTCTTGCTCACCAACTAGATTAAAAATTAAATAAAAAAAGTCTCTAGTTGTTTTTTCACTGGAGAAATGTTCCTAGTAAAAAATATAATTCGTACCAATTTAAAATAAAGGAATCATAACGCCGTAAATTTATCTGTTAATCAGTTTTCATTTCAAGCCTTTTCCCGTTTTTTCCCAACTGTAAAGAAAATTACTCGGAAAATTAAAAAAACACCTTTGTAAGCATCTAGATCCAAAATTTTCCAACTACTTTGAAAATCCTTTAGAAAATAAAAAATTACTTCTTTAATGCATCAACTAGATAAAATTATATTTTAGAAAAAGAGCTACACTTGATGTTTTGAAGCAAATTTTTTTTTTTACTGTCGTTTACAGACGGAGAAAAAAAATACACACTTCATGGTAAAACCAATACTACTAATTATAATAATAATTAAATACACCAATAAATATATGAATATAGTTTTATAAAAATAAGTCTCTCTACAAAATGTTAATTAGTTCACATAAGATAAATAATTGTTTTAATGTTTTCGATTAAGAAAACATAAAAATGATAGTTGATTACTGGATAATTGAATAAATACACGCTATCACAGTCGCGTATTAAGTACAAATAATCTGATAATACTCGTACATTAATATTACTGAACGTTTTCATATACTTAGTATTAGTTAATAAAATTCTTACATTGAAATTATGAAATCGGGACAAAAGTGAGACGTTTAATAAAAATCGATGGTTTTTACAGTCCCGATTGAACTTAAGAATTTACCGTAATACCTGTTCAAGAATCGGTGCTGTTTTGCGTATATCCGGGACGTCTTGTCACACTACTCATATACCTGTACATTTTAATACTCCGGTTTGTCATTGAGGATTAAAATGTTCACAGTGAAAAAAAAATATTTTGTAAAATATAATAATACTCGGTTTGACGTAAACACTACATGCACCTTTGATGTTCATATTCAATATCACACAATATAATGGATATATTTTAATAGTGTGTACTTACTATACCTATAAAAAGGAAAAATTTAAAAAAAAAACAGTAACAGCGAGTAGAAATAAGGTAGGCAACGTATTTAACACATCGCGTCTCATAACACACCTATCGCCGTAACTGCAGTTCATCATCAGACTCAAAAAAAAAAAAAAAACTTTTCTGGCA